ACACTGTGTGTTAATTTAAATGTAGATATATGCTTTCTTTAAATATGTTGTCAGTGCTTAATATTCCTAAGAATTTGTACATGTCAACTATGTAACTCTAAATAACTTTTGTAATAACCAATGTGGCAGAAATGCCTCTGCCACGTGTTAATGGAGGGGCCTGCTGGCCAGCCTCCTGCCCAAAAACTATGGGCCCTGAAAAAACCTTGTTAAAATACTTTGTTCATGCCATGTCCTTATACTGTTCAGGAACCTAACAGACGCACGAACCATGGACCACCCGGGAGCTTGTTAAACCCTATTGACACCTGGTAACGATTCTCATCTCAATGTCCTAATTGTTCGTCTGGGTGACTGGACTTCGTATGAATGACCACGAGGTGGCTGCCATCTTGTTCGCATGAACGCAGGCAGCAGTATTTGGTCATTGAGTTCATGGAACTAAAATCAGACACTGAAACTCCCGAACACCGCTGGACTTCCATCATCGCCTGCGTTCGGTTCTGTACATCTTAGAATTACACTGTTCGTTCATCTGGATGAGGGTAGCAAGCTCCACTGTTCAAATATAGACTACGTTCAGTAATTATTTTGTTTTTATGTCACTGAAGTTGACCGACTGTTACCACTTTTCTCATGGAACTATTTTGTGCTTAAGCCTAATGTGCGGTCGGTCAAAAAGGGACTTCCATGGAAAACCCAAACACTGATCTGGGTGAATTTTGGAGATGTGGTCACCCAGATCGGGGATATCCGGGGATGTGGGGTTTTCATGTGTTTTGGGGTTACTTTTGGGGTGTCTGTAAAATGTGTGTTTTCTGTGCCTGGAGATAATTGAGTTTGTACAGTTCCTGACTCAATTGTATCTCAGGTACAGGAGAGGGATTACCCTCTTGTTTTGTGTAGGAAACCCCTTGCATGGGCTTTGTTGTAAAAGGCTGTGTGTGGCCCTGCATTAAACAGTCTGGCTCCCAGCATTAAGCCTCGGCTCATGTGTTGGGGGAACAGCTATACTGCTATAATCACTGCTATACCTGCGATACTCTCTTGGAGGAGAGGTCTTCCCACTGGGAGCTGGATCCAGGTGGGAAGGGATGGCGAGACCCCAACAAAGCTGGGGTGGCTAAGGGGGGCTTCAGTGCTTATGGTTTCCGGTGCGGTGCTTATGGTACTCAGTGACTACTAAGAATCGTGATTCTAAAAGCATAAAGTAGAAAAAGGGGGAGTAGAGGGAGTATCTCTGTAATTTTCCTCTACAGCCTGACTGCTCTGTCCTCTGTAAGAGGCAAACCACCCCTTGTCTCATGTCAAAGTATACCATTTGCTATGAGGAACTCAGGTGAATTTTTTCCACATTCAAGCTCAATCCGTGTTGTTTTAGGATGCTCCTTTTTCTGTTTCAATTTTCTATTTCAGCAATGTCAACTGTCTCTTCCCTACCAGGAGGATATCTTCCAGGAAGTGATAAATATGAGTATATTGTTGATGAATCTCTGCAATCAGAGATATCAATATTTTGGTAAATACCCTTGGTGCCAAGCTGAGGCTGAAGGAGAGGGCAATAAACTGTAGGTGCATTTGGTTGTGACAGAATTGCAGATATCTGTGATGTTCCTTTGCAATAGGGATGTGGAAAAAACATCTTTCAGGTCAAATCATCCAATTGCCTTTAGATACCACCTTGATGATGCAGCCAATTTTGAATTTCCTTGCACGCAGATAAGTATTTAATATTGACAGGTCTAGGATTGGCCTCTAGTTGTCTAGTCCTTTGGAAGCAAGGAACAGCCTGGTACAATAACCCAAAACATTTTGTTTTTGGGTACTGGACAGACCACTTTTTGCTGTGAAATAATGTCTATGAATTAAAGCAAAGCCTTTTTATTCCAGATATCGTCTGGGAATATAGGTCCGAGTAAGTGTGTTGAAGGAGGAGAATATTTGAATTTCAGATATTAACCTGTGAAGATAAGGTTTTTTTACCCAGGCATCTTGGTTCAATGGCACAATGCAAATCTCCTATCTCCTACTCAAGGTTCTTTTAAGTGCCACTGATAAACAGGAGCTACATTGAAAGCTGGGTAATACTATTGTACCTTAAACGTAGTTTTACAATAGGATCAATGACACAATCAATTTCCTATCTCCCATTTAAAGTTGATTTAAATGCCCTTGACAATAGAAAGCTAGTGTGACGGACGCCCCTTTGCCTGGACGTTCGCCACTGGCTCCTGGAGGAGTGTGGAGTAGTGATGTCGCGAACCCGAAATTTTCGGTTCGCGAACGGCGAACGCGAACTTCCGCAAATGTTCGCGAACCGGCGAACCGCCCGAAACGCCATTGACTTCAATGGGGAGGCGAATTTTAAAACACACAGGGACTCTTTCTGGCCACAATAGGGATGGAAAAGTTGTTTCAAAGGGACTAACACCTGGACTGTGGCATGCCGGAGGGGGATCCATGGCAAAACTCCCATGGAAAATTACACAGTTGATACAGAGTCTGGTTTTAATCCATAAAGGGCAGAAATCACCTAACATTCCTAAATCACAATCAATATGGATTGACACCTGACATATGACATATTGACACCTTGACATATGGATTGACACCTGTCCTCAGAGCCCCTGATGCACACGGACACAGAGCAGAATAGAGACTGGTCCCCCTACATGAGGGTCACTTGGCAGATATGGATTGACACCTGTCCTAAGGATCCCTGATACACACTGACACAGAGCAGAATAGGGACTGTTCCCCCGCATAGGGTCACTTGGCGATATGGATTGACACCTGTCCTAAGGATCCCTGATACACACTGACACAGAACAGAATAGGGACTGGTTCCCCCTACATAGGGTCACTTGGCAGATATGGATTGACACCTTGTTACAAACTGCTATTTGTAACGGGCCCTTTAAATGGCAAATTGCCCTGCTTCCCTGGGTTGTGGAGAAGCCTATTTGCCAGCCTCCTCCCGCATGACTATGGCCCCTGGGAGATTGTGAAAATGTATGCACTTTTATTTGGTGTGTATGGCCCTTTAAGACTGTCGGTGGGCATATTGGGGCTTATGGACTCTTTATGTGACTGGTACTGGCCCTTTAAACACCTTTTTTGGGACATCAGGAAGATTGGGACACTGCCCCTTTAAGGCCGTGTCCCCAGACTTGTTGGGGACACGGCCCCTTTAAGACGGTGTCCCCTGTGTCCCCAGACCTGGTGCAAACCCTTTGTGCCTGCCTTGCTATTTCCCACTTGGTTCAGTAAATGGGAAATTATTTCAGCTGCAGAGACTAAGTCCCATTCGGCGATGGGACTTAGTCGTTTTTTCAGCCTGAAATAGACCGACCTCACAGCCCAAATCTATGGAACTGTTTTGGGCAGGAAAATGTGCTTGCGGTCGGTCATAAAGGGACCTCCAGCTAACTTTTTAACCCCTGGATGGATTTGGCTGATTTTTGGTTATGTTTATGTTTTAAGTGTGCTGATTCCAAATATGTAATTATGAAGATGGGATGTGTAGTTTTAAAGTTACAGGGTATGGCTAAAAACTGTATTTTTACTGCCTGTGTTTAATTATGTTAATCTCTTCCCAAACGTCATTTCGTTCAAAGTGGAGAGAATGTTAAAAAAATATATTTTTGTTCGGAGTGTGAGAAATGCTTTTCAGCCGCTTCTAATCTTAAGCATTGTATTGGTTATGGGCAATGATAAATGTTCTATTATTGTGTTCCCATTCATGTGCAATAACTTATGATACCTATAGGGGGTGTAGTGAGCTATGTGACATTAAGAGCAAGAAGATGGCTGCTGCATATTTAATGAGACATGTGCTTTAGGGAGGAAGTGACCTATAGGTGGCCTAGTGAGCACTGTGACGTCGAGTGAATAAAGATGGCTGCCGCATAGTCAATGAGACATGTGCTTTAGGAAGGTATTGAGAATTCTTAAGTCACTTCCTTTCACAAAGGACCACATGTAGTATCCGCCTCCTAGAGATGACCATTAGGTATTGGTTATGTTACCTCTGTGGGTGGATACTAGATGGGAGGTTATTCAAGGGGTTTCCAGAAACTAGAGTTTCAGTTTCATGACTGGGTCGGAAGAAGCCAGGTGTCTTTAGAGGTGCCCATGTAAATCCATTTAACATGTGGCAAGGAACTCACCTCATTGTTCTGTGTGTTATGCTGATTCAATTATCCTGTGTAAGCTGCTGAATCTCCATGAATAGAGCTAAGTAGATTTCTTACCTGAATGTATTGTTTATAGCAGTGTATGTTTTTAAAGTATTTGTTTTCTTTTTTGTGTGCTTGATAATTGTATTCCCAGTAAAGTTTTGTTTATACTTTCATCAAAACTTTGCCTCTTGTCTGTTCATTCAAGATATTCACTAATATTTATGTGATTGACCAGTATACCTTTTATTATTTTATTTGTGGTATTATTTTATATTTATGCAATTCAGAACTTCATAAATATAAAGAAATTACTTAATTTACCATTACAACTGGCGCTGTGAACAGGATACTGCACAATCACTAAATATAGAATATTTGAATGTGTATATAGATTGAATAAGCCTATAGCACAGTCACGTTGCACAGTGAAAAGAGATATAGTTAACAAGCATTGTCTTTGATTGGTATATTTGCATTTTTGTGTTCCCCCTGAGAGTAAAGATGCTTACTCTGTTTAAAAAAAGTAATAGAGCAGGAGGGAAGGAGGCGTCTAAGTATGGGACAATTCCATTGTGGGCCAGTTTAGAAAACTGGAAACCCATTGCTGAGGAGCTGATCAAGTATGCAGCTCCTGTCTATCCTGATGCTGGTACTGAACTTGGTGCTCAAGCATTACGGTTAGACCTGGGAGTATACTCCAAAAAAGTGCGGAAAGCCGCTGCCACCACAGGGTGGATAGTTGTGCAGGCCCTTAGCCGCGAGGTGCAGAGAAATAAAGCGCTCGAGAAAGAGTTGCAGGATGTAAAAGATTTATTAGTTATGACTAAAGAATGTATGCGTAGTAATGCATGCCAGGTGGCTGCCCTAGAAGAAAAATGTACTACTTTAGTGGTAAGCAAGATTAACCGCTGGAGGTCACAGAAAGGAAAAAAGCCAGTGCCTGTAAGTAAAGTGCGAGCAATGGTTGCAAACCCCATATGGGATCCTGAAGCACCGCTACAGTCATCTGATGATGAGTATGTATCCTTTTCTGATGATGATAATGATGTGGACAGGCGACAAGCCCGTCCTATCATTACACAGCAGCGGAAAAGGAGACTACAAGATAGAGCGCGTGGTTTGAGAAATGGTGTACATGAAGAGATGAATGAAGTGGTAAAAAGTTACACACAAACAGAGCTCATGGAGCTGGCAAAGGTGTATAAGCATGAAGTTGGTGAAAATGTGGGAGAATGGTTATTGCGCATGTGGGATGGAGGAGCTGACAGTGTGCAGTTGAATGCAAGGGAAGCATTATGTATGGGGCAGCTGACGCTGCATCCACAGCTCATGCAGGTATTACGGAGGGTGAGGGAGATTGGAGGTAATTTTTCATTATTTGATATGGTGCGGCATGCCATAATTGTGGCCTTCCCATCTAGCAGTGACATTGAGCCCATTTCACCCTGGTCAAAACCGAGGGATGCTATTACCCGCATTAGAGTTATGGGTTGTGTGGTGGGATTAAACAAGGATAACTGGGAAGGTCCAGACATGGAGGAATTCACAGCCAGCATGCGGTCTCGGTTTTTAAAAAGTGCACCCCAGGAAATGAAGGCATCTTTATTGTCTTTGCTGGGCAGTTTGGGGAATAATGTAAAGGTACATCAGCTCACCACTTATTTAGCTGAAATTGGAGAATTAGAGTCAGAATCTAACCCTAGGAAAGGTGTGTTTGCCGCTAACAGGACGAGGGAGGAGATGGTGGAACCAATAGAGGGAGAAAAGCAGGGAAAGTTTAGGAATAAAACAAGGCTGAGAGTTAATCGTTTTCAAATGTGGAATGATTTGATTGAGGCTGGTGTACCTAGAGAACAAATTAATGGAATTTCAACACCTGCCATGTTTGAAAAATGGTTAAATCTAAAAAAGGGTCTAATAAAAAGGTACAGGTACATTTGGCATGCAAGGATCAGGCAGACAATACCATGCCCTCTGCCCCATTTGTCCCAAAGTCTCCTCCCCCTAGTTATTTAAAAAACACTCCTCTCATGCCTACAGACACAGCTCCTCTGTCCATACCTCTATTCCAACATTGTGCTCCTTATGCTGTGCCCCCACCCTCACTTCAAGCCCAAGATAACACCCCCCACATTCATACCCACATATGTCTTCACTGTTTCCAACAGAATATTGTGCTAGGACTTACTCTCATACTACATCTAGTGAGAAACAAGCACTGCCAGAGAGTGATGGTAAAGTCAGATCCTTGTATCCTGTAAAAGATCTGATGACACATGATTTGATGGATTGGGACAGTGCTGTTGTACAATGACAGAATGGTGGGCCTCCGGCGGTACATGTTTCCCCTTTAACCGCCGGGGACCGACGCCCTTATGTACCTTTGACTGTGTGGTGGGGGACAAGACCAGGACCAACAAAGATTTTAGCTTTAGTTGACACAGGAGCAGAAGTCACAGTACTGCATGGTAATCCATCAAGGCTATCAGGACCCTGTGTGAGAATAGAAGGTTTAGGAGGTAGAATTACCAAAGCAGTACAAACTGTTGTGGCTATGTCAATTAACAAAGGACCAAGATTCAGTGCTAAAGTTTTGATTTCAGAATTGCCAGACAATATCTTGGGAATAGATGTGTTACTAGGGCAGAGTATTGAGACACAGTGGGGGGTGTTCACGTTTGGATTCCCTCATAAGCCATACTATCTCAGACCAGTAAAAGACATTGTGCGAGGGAATGCAAATTGGACACCTGTCATTGTTCCTCCTCCGTGCAACCCGGTAAGACTGAAGCAATACCGTTTGCCAGGAGGATGTCAAGAAATTAGTGAAACTATCGACAAGCTTTTACAGTCAGGTGTAATTCGTCCAGCTGTCAGTCCGTTCAATGCTCCAGTATTCCCTGTAAAGAAGATGGATGGCTCATGGCGAATGACGGTGGATTACCGGGGACTCAACAAGGTAGCACCACCATTGAGTGCTGCTGTCCCTGATATTATCACCATTGTGGGAAACATTGCCAAACAGGCCGGGGAGTGGCATGCGGTAATAGATTTAGCTAATGCGTTCTTTTCAATTCCTATTGCACCTGAGTCGCAAGATCAATTTGCTTTCACTTGGGAAGGACGCCAATATACCTTCCAAGTTTTGCCCCAGGGATATATACACTCACCTACGATTTGCCATGGACTAGTTGCACGGGATTTAAGCCACCTCACTCTACATCTTCCAGTGTTTCACTACATTGATGACATCATGATCTCGGGATCTAAAGAGGAAGTGAAAGAAGCATTACCTGTTCTAGTGAATTACATGACTGGACGGGGATGGGCAATAAATAAAGACAAAATTCAAGGTCCAACCCAAGAAGTTAAATTCTTAGGAATGATGTGGTCTGGGCCTGTTCGGAAGATACCTCAGCCTGTGCTGGATACAATCCAGAATTCTCCAGAACCTAAGACGTTAACAGAAGCCCAAAAGTTTTTAGGTGCAGTTGGTTACTGGAGAGCATTTATACCGCATCTAGGATTGCTGCTACGCCCCATATACAATGTTACAAGAAAGAAATCAGCATTTGTATGGGGAATTGATCAAGCTACAGCATTCCAAGCAGCAAAGGAAGCAGTATTACAGCATCAGGGCTTGGGCCCGATTCAAATTGGAGCTCCGTTCATATTGGATGTGATGGTGAACGACAACGTAGCATCATGGGGACTATGGCAACCGAGCGAAGACAAAGGCAAGCGGGCAGTACCAATTGGGTTTTGGTCCAAGCAATTGACTGGGGCTCAGCAAAGGTACACACCTTTGGAGAAGAATCTTCTGGCAGCATACCTCGCACTGCAGCATGTGGAGACAATGACTGAGAAAAGCATAGTATCAGTGAAAACAGATTTACCAATAGCAGGATTGGTACGAGATGAAGGATTATCTGCAAAGACAACAGTGGCACAAAGTCAGACATTATTAAAATGGAAGTGGTACCTGCAGGAAAGAGGAGGGATCCAAGCAGGTGAAGTGAAGGAACTGACCAAACTCCTTACTGGGTTAGTGACATATGATACACTTTCACATCCCAATGTACAAGAAGTCCCAATTTTACAGCCCTCACCCATCAAGACAGCTCCTTCATTCAGAGAACTGGGTGAAGAACAAAAGAAAAATGCATGGTTCACAGATGGGTCTGCAACCATGACCCACAAAGGACGACATTGGACTGCAGTAGCTTACAACCCTCAGCAACAAATTGTGATTCAAGAGAAGGGAATAGGAGGATCTAGTCAATATGCTGAATTGACTGCCATAGTCATACTGATGGAAGAAACCACAGATCCAGAGCTCTACATCTATACAGATAGCTGGGCTGTGTACAAGGCTTGTGTTACATGGATGCCTACATGGAGAAACAACAGGTGGCAAATACATGGCAAGACAGTATGGGGAGGAGAAGATTTATGGGAAAATATATGGAAAACAGCCCAATCAAGATTAATACACCTCGGACATGTTAATGCCCATGTGAAAGACAGTACTGGAGAAGAGAACCCGAATAAGATAGCCGATGAATTGACCCGAATACGAGAAGCAAAAATAACACCAGAACCTGTTGATCCAGTATTACTTAGGATGGCAGACTGGGCCCATGAGACCGCGGGTCATAGAGGAAAAGCAGCTACGCTAGAGTGGGCGCGAGCCCGAGGACTACCAATAACTCTCCAGATGATTGTCCAAGCTCAAGAAGTATGCGAGACCTGCAATGAGGTTAAGAAATGGCCCCTCACGAAGCAAGCCCGTGGACATTTAAATAAAGGAACAATAGCAGGACAGATCTGGCAGATGGACTACATTGGTCCCATGCCTAAAGGAAGAGGGGGGCTGATGTATTGTTGTACTGCTGTAGACACCTTTTCCTGAATTCTGAAAGTATTACCCTGCAAACATGCGAACCAGGCCTCAACACTTCAGATGCTACAGACTCTTGTGATTGCTTATGGACTGCCATCTGAGATTCAGACAGACAATGGAACCCACTTCACTGGACAGCTCGTACAGCAGTGGGCAAATGACTCAGGGATTAAGTGGATCTTCCACATCCCCTATCATCCTCAAGCTTTGGGGTTGATTGAAAGGTGCAATGGGCTTTTAAAAGAACAGATTCGGAAGCTATCCCCAAGTAGGACATTGAGGGGGTGGGACCGGGTGATCACGCAGGCAGTTATGATACTAAATAGTAGACCAATGGACAGTTTTCACCTTATGAAAGATTGACTGGACAGGTAGGGACACCAACTGTGTCAGTTCGATTAAGGTTCAAGGGATCTTTCCCCCAACAGGTGGGGAAGAACAAATTTAAAGTGGTCAGCCAGAACCTAGTTGAGATTGTACAGGGTGATGAATGGATGACATACATCCTTCCCATGGGTGGGATATTACCAGAAGGGACTGAAGTGACCTTTGCCCTAACAGAGGAGCTAAGAGATGATAAATGGTTGACCACAGGGATGGTAAATGTGTTATCAGATTTGTGGGAAATCCCATTGACCAGGGGGTGTCCAGGCCAGATTTTCTCACACACTGTATTAGGCGTGGTATCCATTTGGATCCCACGGAAAGTATTAGTGACATGGGAGGAAAGCAATACCTTACAGACAGGTTCCAAAGTATGGGTGCTACCACGAGCAGGTGAGCAGGTCAAACAGAAGGGAGAAATACTGTCCAATGGACCTGGTGACACTAAAGTTGTATTACTAAGTGGAGGTACTCACCCTGTTTTCTTTCCTTCCAACAGATTGGTGGCTATATAGACAAGTCGGATCCCTGGTCCTCCAACTCATACCTGAATCTATTAGCAAGTTATTCGAGAGTGTCAAACAGCACGGATTGCTGGATTTGTGGGACCATATCATTCAGCGAGGAGAGCAGTTACCCATATGTTGGTGTTCCATGGACATTGGAGGAGTTAAAACAATATAATAATACAGGATTCGGCTGGTACCGAGAAGAAGGAAAGCCACAATCATTGGACAGATTGCATATTATAAACCGCCCCCAGGAAGGTGCTATTTGTATCAGTTCACATAACAATGGAGCCAATGCCACTAAAATGGGATATTCTAACTGTACATCTGCCTGGGTAAAGGGCTATGGTAATGAACAACATTGGGCAATGACTGTCAAAGACTCCAGCCCAATGGTGAGAGTAATAAGTATGACCTCTCATGGTGCAATAAAAAGACTGAGCTTTCCCTTTATTTCTATACTCCTGGACACTTGTTTTAGTGGGGCCCCAGATAATAGTTACAGTGTCCTTCCCAGAGGTGTGTATTTTCTGTGTGGTAATTGGGCCTATAGATGGTTACCTACTCAATGGGAAGGAGAATGTTACATTGGATCAATCATCCCCGTCATAAGGCATAGAAATAGCTTTCCAGAAGGCATGATTAGAAATAAACGGTGGAGTTCATTTATCGGAGAACATGAAGCTAATTCTGGAATTGTATTTCCCGGCTGGGGAGTATATTGGTCATTAACTCGAATAGAAGCTTTAAAAAAGCTAGTGGATGAAGCTTTAGATGCAGCCGTGGATGCTATTAACAAACTATCCCAAGAGCAGGTACAAATGAGAGCAGTGGTGTTGCAAAATAGACTAGCATTAGATTATGTCTTGGCCGCCAAAGGAGGCGTTTGTGCGTTGGTAGGGACAGAGTGCTGCTCGTATATTGTCAATAACTCTGGCGCAATAACACATGATATTTCAAAGATAAATGATACCAGGAAGAAGCTCCAGAATCCACCGGATAGTGGACCTTTTGGGTGGTTGGGTAATTTAGGGTTTAAAGTAATGCAATGGGTAGTAGTGGGTGTTGTTTTATGTATAATATTGTATTTTTTTGTAAATTGTATTATATGTGTGGGAAAGCAAGCTATGAAGAAAGTAAGACCTATCCGAGAAATATATGAGTTATAGTTATTACTCATGTAATGGGATCAACAGGTGGATTGTATTGGTTATGGGCAATGATAAATGTTCTATTATTGTGTTCCCATTCATGTGCAATAACTTATGATACCTATAGGGGGTGTAGTGAGCTATGTGACATTAAGAGCAAGAAGATGGCTGCTGC